CTTTAGAATTTTACTTTAACACGAAGAAAGGACAAGAAATACACTATAGTTCTAAATTAGAAGCTGACCTATTTACAGGTATGTACCAACAAGCTCAACTCTTTACTCTTGTACTTAAACATTTTGATTCAGGCAAAATATATTTTACTCGTAAACAAATGGATATTGAGTCGTATGAACACGACGTTATGTATGTTAATGTAGGTTTTCTTCTACTCTTGCGTCAAAATTAAATAACTGAATTTAATACTTTTGGTACCTAAGAACAAAAGGAAATTGCACGGACGATCGAAGAAATTATATAGTTAATCGTTTCTCAACGGAAATAGTGTATATTGCCAAAAGAACACGAAAAATATATTTTCAATTTAGCGGTTCGAACCGGTTCGAACCGGTTTGAACCGTTATTTTTGGCTCCCCGGAACTGAACCGGAACCGAACCGAAAGCCGTGAACCCGAACCGAAACCGAACCAATAAAAATTTCGGTTCGACACCCTGGTGGTGAGTATGTCTGGGACCGGCGAGAAGAAAGGTTAGTGCTGGGTGTCAAAATTTGCGATGTTCAAGGGTGGCTACCTGGGGGAAATCCAATGGGGACTGGGAGTGAGATGCATAGTCTTTGAGCTTGGTTGGGTAGTATGTTTCCTGTAGTGCTATGAGGATGTGGGGGGGGGGGGGGGTTATGGATACAATGTGTGCTTGGAGGTTGGCTCTTTTAGTCCGAAAAACCGCGGCAGTTCTACTGCCAGCTTTATTGTGGGTTAGAGGTCCGGGTCATTTCCGGGGGTTATAAATAGGAAGGTGGTAGTTGGGGGCGGCAAGGTGCATCCATTGTAGGACTTCTTGATATAGGAAGTGTACCGATTCCTGGATTGCATTGATTTGGGAAAAGGTGTGTTGGCGATGGTTATTGAAAGCCTTTTCTATTTCGGCGTGTAGGGTCTATCTCTCCGTTGCCTGAGGATGTGGGGTGAGGGTCAGTACAGGGGGGAAGTGCTCGTTTCTTATTCGGGGGGGGGGGGGGGGGGGGGGGGAGGGGGGGGGGAGGTGGTTAGTTGGTCGGGTGACGGGGCTGGAGGGTTGTGGGTGGTTTGGCGTTGTTGTTTAAGGAGACGGTTTTCCGCTTGTAGGCGTTCATTATCTGCGCGAAGCAGGGTGATAGTGTGACGCAATTGCTGAATTTCCCGGTACATTTGGCGCATTTTGTCCTGCCATGTGGAGGGCGGGGGAGGGGGGGGGTGAATTGGGGGAGTTGGGAGCAGAGCTGAGCGTACCTGGCCCTGAGCGGCTCGGCTGTAAGTGATTCCGGGTGTGGTGAAGGTCGTGGTGATGCGGTCAAGTTTGGTCCCGGGGGTGGTGGAGGGTATGTTGGGTAAGATTTTTTGGTAGGGTGCGGCAAGGCTGGAAGCGTTTTGGGCATCCCGCTGCACCTGTCAGGTGATCTTGTCCACAGAGGATGCAGCGAAGCTGGCAGGGGTGATTTGGTGTGGGGCTCAGTGTAGCACAAATAGTACACTGGGGTTTCGGTGAGGGTTTGGGGCAGACGTCTCGCCTGTGTCCAGCCGACCAACAGGACATGCACGCCTCGGTTTTCCGCTCGTAGGGGTAGCAGCGAAGAATAACCGCACGATACCGCACCCAGAAGGGTACATGCGGCCCCAAAAAGAGTGCTTGCATGATGCCCGTGTCTTTGATGCGACGGGCGTCGAAGACTGTTATGGTAAGGTTATGACACGCGAGACTTTCCATGATTAGTGGTTCGGAGTCTTCAGCTGAGATCTGAAATATTGCTCCTGTCGTAGTGACGCTGGGTGGGGAGGAGGGGGGGGTGGGTATGTGGCTTTGGACTTTTGTGATTGCCTTAAAGTCGAGGTATTGTTGGGCTCTGCGTTCATCGGGGGGTACTTACTACGATGAAGTTTGAACGGGTGTTTATGCGCACTTGGTCTTGAGCGAAGTCCGTTATCTTGGTTTGGTGGAAGAAGGAGTCGGCTAGCTGGGCTGCATTAATTTTGCTGAGGTCCAGACCGCCCTGAGAACGAATGACAACCTTGAAGCCACCAGGGGGGAGCGGGTCTTCTGGTGGGGTGGTAGGTTTCTTGCGATGTTCCCGGCGTTTTTGTTTCGGCTTGTTGGGGTCAGCAGCGGGTGTGGTGGTGGCTGAAGTAGCGGTTGTTGCTGCGATGCGGGAGCGTATTGTCTTCCATCTAGGTTCACGCAGGATGTCGGGATCGATTTCGTCCCCTTCAACCATGTATTCTACACCCGTTGGCGTGTTATAATGTGGAGGTGTTCACCGGAGAAGTCGGGAGCTGCTGCGGCGGCGAGTTGGTGGCAGGCGGCGGCGGAGAGTTTGAAGTTCCCGCTTCGGCGGCTGGTTGGGAGGCGCTCATGGTATTGGCTCATGCCGGTGCGTTGAGTAGAGCGAACCGCAATTGCGCAGGTGGTTGCTGCGTCTGTCACTAGGGGCTGACGTCGAGGCGGCGGCCGCCTCGAAGGCGAGGGCGACGTTAGACTTACCGAGGAGTGCCGGCGTGGCCGGTCTTCATTCGGTGATAATTCACGTACCCGGTGTCGGTGGGCGAAGATGTTGGCACCGATATGGTCCTGATGACGTTAGGAACACTTTGGTATAAATTCGATAGGTTTGGTTGCGATGGTACAAGGCTATAACCAGGTGGAAGCGGAGCCCATGCGGAGCACTTCCAGCCGGGGCGCGAATATCTTCTTTCCTCAAACCAAGGCGCGTCATGCACGCCAGATGATAGTAACAAGTATAATGATAACCTCTCGATCACGTTTTTTCAAAACGCTGAAATCGCGATTGCGATAAAAAGACTGAACCCAAGCTATCAACAGATTTTGATGGCAAAAAAACTGTAGTTACGTCATTTTTTAAGAAATTGGAAATCATAAGTTTTTGTTGCTATCTTGAGAACTTACCTCTGCGTAGGGTTGAAAGCACAAGAGATTTAAAAGTATATATTGATTCATCATTGTCATTCAAAGAACATGTTTCCAAGATCTCAGATGCTGGCTATCGGACGCTAGGTGTTATTTACGAAATACGAAATTAATGCAGAAGCTGACGAAGGAAATTCAAGCGGCGAATAACGCTTGAATTTCCTTCTTCAGCTTGTGCATTCATTTCGTATTGTTCATTAGTACGTAGCAAGCTTGAATTTAGTTCGGTTGTTTGGAATGGTAGTGGTAGTGCAAACCAGAAAAAAATCGAAAACGTGCAGAGAAGTTTCTTTCGTATTATTTATGATCGCTACATTGGCCGCAGTGTTTATTATGAGTATAACAGGCTTTTAAGACGACGTGGTTGTACTACACGAAGCTCGAATGAATGAATGAATGAATGAATCGTTCACGGGCTGATTTTTCTTGTCATGAAGTTCCATATGTAAAATGGCATCCTTATTTATAGTCTAATGACAAAAACATTTTTTTTGTTAATTGACTTTAAAAAGACAGTTTTGTTAGTACCTATTGAACCCCGAAGAAAACGTTTATATGGATGTCCTAAATTAGTTCATTTTAGCAACAATTTATTGTAATATATCATTTTTTTACCCTTGATTCTGAACCTAAAATAAACGTGCACTGCAGCTCATACTGTACGTCTTTCATCAATTAGCACTTTGTTGTCGTGTTTTGTGCTTTTACGCGCAACTAAACAACTTATTCTTGCTTTGAGGAATTCAAACCTGCCATGCAATGGATGCTAACAAAATGGTTCACAGGAGTGTGAAGGCAACGTAGGTCGACAGGCCAACATATAATTCTTAAAATAATACTCGCTGTGATGTGAATGAAAATTAAGTGTGTGCTTATGCTCCAAAGGTTTGTTTTTCTTTTTTTTGCCGCTTTAGATTGACTTTTCGCTGGTCGAAGGGTGCTCCAGAATGACTACGACCAATCACATCACTGGAATGCTTTATTCATTCGCTTTGAGACGACGAGGCATTTCCTCAGGAGCCTCTGGTATGCACGCCCATGACCAGCCGTTCCTCTTGCGCGCTTATAGTCCTGGCTTGATCGCCAACACTACAAAGACATCGAGATCCAGAGAAGGACTACCGGCTTCTCTTTCGGTCCATAGTCGAGTAGCTTCCACGGTCGCATCTTCGAGAAGAAACGCCTCCTCTTGTTTTGTCAGGTAGTTTCTCATGGGATTCATGTTCATCAGCTCCTCTGAAGGAAAAAGTGCGAAAGATACGAGATGTTAACTTGGCATAAAACTTCCTTCCGTTGTGCGTCTATAGAGGTAAGTTAAAACAGCAAATAAATATGACCAGTCAAAACAATGACCAGGTAAACCAGCGAAAAGCTATTACTTAGATTACTGTGTTATTAATTACTCTACATGGCAGGTAGCTGCGACAACTCTGGAGTAATATTTAGCGAGAGCTGAATTGTAGTTGTGCCAGTTAGGTGTAATATTTAACAGTTCTTGGCTTCGCAAACACACATTTTTGTTATGCAGCGCTCACGTGTCATCTTACATGCCGAAACTTTTATAGACGCCCGTGTGGTTCGAGCGTAATTATACATGACATCATGTGCGGTGATATCTTTTTCTTTCGCTGTTCCGCAGATTACACTTACCGATGCAACGGGTGCCCAAGGAGATAAGACAGCACTGCAAGCTCCGCCTACTGTTTACCTTTCTTATTAGTCGGTTTTGCTCTCTCAGTTTTGATTGGCATGATTTCGCAGCCGCGGTTTAACTATATTAGGAATATCGTTGGAACGTGATCGAGTTGGTTCTGCATTTTTGAAAATTAAAAAAACACGCGAAGATAGACGAGGGACGAGTAGGTGCACAAAGAGAGAGCGCTGTCTGTGTGCAATTATATTGGAGCGATTTAGTAGATCGTTCCTTTGACTCTGATGACGACACTCGAAACTCCGCCACCGCCTCTGCGCATACACTGTATCGTTGTTGGGGGTATTGGAGGTTTCGGAACGATCTACGAAACCACTCTATTAAACCCACTTCCTCTCTATCCACATCCTTCTCGCCCAAAGCCTCGATATTGTATTTCTAATCCGTTTTATGCGAGTCTTTACCACTATGGTGTAGAAAGAAAGTCTACATAAGCATCAACTTATTTTGCTGTTTAACAACTTGTAAAGCAATCTAAATCTGCAGACGAACACGCCACCTATCACCCGGTACAAAACTTGCACCAGCGTCTGAAGCCTAAACCAGTCGATCGGCGCCACATCCCTCAGAAATGATGCCGAAAAGATACTCACGGATAAGGTGCTCCAGTCCGGTGTAGTACGTGGGTGTTTCTTGTCTCAGTTCGCAAATCACCGGAGTCAGGTTGGCGGCCTTGAGAAGACCCGACACGTGGGACAAGAGGGCTTCCTTGCCGACTAGTGCCACGCTCGGCGGAATGCAGCCTTCGCAGATCTGCGTGCAGAAGGAAGCATAGGTCCAAGAAAAGACGCAAGAGAATTAAAAAAAAAAAACGTCCCAAGTGCTCGTGTGAAGACCGATTGCAGCGGCCCACGCGTGGAGGGGTGTCCAAACAGGACACTACAAAACGTACGACTCCGACAAATCGTGAAAATTGAAGCGGGCGCGTCCGCTTCAATTTTCACGATTTGTCGGAGTCGTGCTTTTCGTAGTGTCCTGTTTGGACTCCCCCTGACTTGTCTTTCAACGTTTACGTATACAGTACACTCCCGGGCGTCCTGAGGATATATCGACCACCCAAACAATCGCCTTCTGCGCGCAGCCATCTTTGTCTACACTGGGGAGTGGAACACAGTGTTTACAAACGGTCCCACTTCGCCCACACCATGTGTGGCACTCCGCGTGCGCAGAAAACAAATTTGGGGGGAGTGAAGCGTCTGACCATGTACAGTAGCGACAGCAGCGCCACCGCAGTTGCGTGACGTCAGTGAGTTGAGTTGGTCTATACTAAGCGTGCGCAATAGCTGTCTAATGCGAACTATCCGACGCTGCGTATGCGTCCACAGCCCAATGACTCGTCATTTTTTCGCCTGGGTGACGAGCGTAACTTCCACAGCCCACACTACGATGGTGTCACTCAAACAGCGACAAGAGCTCAAGGTCACGACGCTCGTCGTCATTGTAACAGGCGGGAGCTTGCACCACTAGCTTGACAATGGGGTATTCACAGTTCGCGATTGGTTTATAGCCGGGGACGGGTGAACGCACGAAGACGGTGAGCGCGCTGACGATCCACTCTTGGGGCTGCTCGATATACATTATATGCTCCATCGAAATGTAACGTCGCCTTCGGTCGGAGTGTGTAAAAACACTGTTCCGTGGTGTATTCGTTAATCCTCTTTTAATTACTAAGCCGATCAATGATAAGGCTGATTGCTTTCGGGATGGGGCTCTTGCGTAGAAATCGGTGGACGTCCTTTTATTACAGGGACTGTAATTATGTGCCCAATGTGCGTTGGGGCGGGATAGCGGTGGCCCTGACAAGAAGACCGATGATTGTGCAATTTCGAGTGCACCGCTGGGCGGTGTATGTAACGAAGGAACTTCGGAGACCGAAAGTGTATCGTAACAAGCCACCGGCACCACGACGGGAGTTTTCAACCCAAATAAAGGTTACGATACTATTTTCAACAGCAAAATAACGTTTGACACAGCGGGCAATAGTGAAAATTTACGATAAATATTCATTGCTTTAAAGAAAGTCTCTGAATACAGATTGTGCTCCCTGGATTCAAGTGCAGAGGGTAGAATTCGGTACTCTACTCGTTACAGGGGTTGTAAACATTTCTAAGATTCCGGCGTCGTTTTGTTCGTTTTAATATGCGTACTCCTTACTTCCGACTTCAAACGCATGTGCCATGACACAGATGAGGACGAGAACACAAACGTGATTTCGGCATTGCAATTTTAGAAATTAATAATTCCGCTATTTGATTATTTTGTTCGAAATTCTTGCTTAGAGTCATGCAAGAGAGTGCGTACGCTCTGAGGCAAGTTAGAGTGAGATGTCGGGACTTCGAGGCATGATTAGACAAAAATTACTTTGGCCAAGGTTGATACCGATTCTCTAAAGTCAGTTCCCAATGCATGCTACTTTCTTTTTATACACGTAGTGGCCGATTCATATCAAGCTAGCTTGATTATTTTTCGTCCCTGTAAGTGAATAGCGTAGCTCTTTTTCGCCAGTAATTACGACTAGTGTATCTGGCTTGCCCAGTTTAAGGTATGGGTTTTGCTTACGTGTCACTAATCTAGACTCACCTCGGCGTACATCTTCCAGCGATCCATTGTGGCCAACTTCCGGCGGAATCGCATGTTCGGGCTGGCGGCGTAAAATCGAAAGAAGCCTTTCCCTCCTGGTTTCATCAAGTCGGCCACGTTCTTGAACGCCTTTTCCTGGTCCTTCACCCAGTTGAAGCAGAAGAGCGAGCAGACGCGTTCGAACTGGCCATACCGGTTCACGAATTCGGGCACGTCATCCCCAGCGATGTCGAGGACGTCGTACGTGATCTTTGGATGGGGGAAATTCATTCTACCGTAGTCGACCATCTGTTCAGAGACGTCGACGGCGACGATCCCTCGGCAAGGCAGACATCGGGGCAACAGGCCGTCACGCGTGATGTCGCCCGTCCCGCAACCAAGGTCGAGGTACTGGCGATCTTCGTTATTCTCGCCCTTAAAAAAGTCTTGCAGGGTGTCTAGTTCATCAACGGCCGCTGAAAACCAGGTCTGGCCCGTAGCGTCCATGTACAGCTGCGGCTTGAGAGGAGTGGTTGCGGCTGCGTTTTCGGCCATAGTTGAACGATGGTGAGCCAATGAAGTTAACAGACAGAAACACAGTACTGTAAAGCGCACTAAGACCGGATGCGACCGCAGAACGTAAAGGCACTCCTTGAAAACCGGCTGCGTGTTACAACAAAACTGCGTCCATGGGCGTCTGTGCGTGCGCGCGAACACATGTGTGTGCATGCGCGTGTATGTGTGTGCGTGCGTGTGTGTGTATGTCTGTGAGCGTGTGTGTGCGTTTGGGCGTGCAATGAATAATCACGCCACTTCCCCGTAGAAATGCAAACTGCGCTTCCAGCGTACAGGTGCAGGCGTGCCACTGCAAGCTGAGAAACGTGTGCAGGGCCGCGTTTACATGAATGCGCACCAAGCCTTGCGCGAAGGTGGCGCCACGCCGCGTCAAAGCTCAAAGTTAAAGCTGCGTTTCCGGCACCAGCCGCACCACGTGATAACCTTTTCCGGTGCATCGCACGTGAAGGCATTTCGACCAAGGGGGGGGGGGGGGGGGGGGAAGGAGGGAAAGGGAACGCGGCGCAAAGCGGAGGCTGCCATATTAAAACCGCTTACGTTGCCAGCATAGGTTTTGCAGCGGAGAAGTTGCTGCCATATACGGCGAACTGAGTTTTACTTTCTTTTTCGTTTTGAAAAGAGAATGTATTGTTGTGTTACATAGGTCCTCCTGCATACAGACAACGAAGTTTAATTATATTTGTCTTGTTTATTCGGTTTGAAATCCTAAAAACAGGTTTTTGACAACTTATTGCTTCCATCATTTTGGAGTACGCGAGGCAGTTATCTCGCTGTTCTGGTTTCAATCACGAAAGCAAAGCAAAACGCTCGTAGTTCCCGCCCTCAGTACATTTTGGACACCTTCACACTTTGACACCGGATAACTGGATGAACAAGGATTTAGATTTACTACAGAGGTCACTTTCGCCGCTTCCTCACCGTCGAACAGCCGGATCAGCTGGCGGCAAGCCGCGGATGAAAGGCTTGAGCATCAACAGCCTAGAGCCAGTACAACAGCCCAAGTGCACTCAGTGCCGATGCGGGCGACGCGGGCTTCTGTCAACCCAGGGGCGCACCCAAGGGGGGGGGGGGGGGGGGGGGGGGGGGGCGATGGGGGCGGCCGCCTACCCTCCAAACGGTCGACCCCCCCCCCCCCTGCCCCCTTCTTGGAGGGCGATTTGACATGGGTGGATCCCCCGAAATAAAACCAACTACCGGCCTGCCAGGTGGTAGGAAGCTCGGTACTCAAGGACGAGGGTTAGAAATAGGGTAGGTCGCACCCTAGCAGGCGCACACACTTGGAGAACCACTCCGTCACTTCAACCGAGACTGCAGTCCGCGGCGGCGGTTTCAAAGCACGGTTTAGCATGCAGCGGTTTTGGTATAGAGCGGCGCGATTTCTGCCGTCGCGGCGCTCTGGCCAGCACCAGCGGTTGAGCGGCACGAGCGCCTCGATGGCAGAAATCGCGCCGCTCTAGGGCCAAAATCGCTGCATGTGAAACCCGCTTTAGAACCAAAAGTCGGCGCAGCGGCGCACATCTAGGGGCCGTCGGAGCAGTGTGGTTCTGCGGCGGTTACAACAAAAGGCGCAACCGGAGTCCTGTTTATCTTGCTTTAGAGTTTAGATTTTCCCTCACCCCCTCCTTTCCCGCCCCTCCCCCCCCCCCCCCCCCCCCCCACAAAAAAAAAAACAGAAAAAAACGGAGTTCTGGGTCCGCCCCTGGGTCAACCGGTAGCCCAGCACAAACCGTGAACGTTCCAGCTCTTCGTCATGACACGCTGTTGCAGAAAGCACAGTAAAATACAACTACACGTACCAACGAATCAAATGCACTGCTATCGTAAATATTGGCTTGTGATTGCGCCTTTGTAGATCATCTTATTCGTTTTGCTGGAGACGCAACCGACGGGCATAACAAAATCGTTTGCGTATTCCGCATACCTCGCAAAAGCACTTACCCAGTCACCTTGCGAAAAGCGCGAAACACGGAGTCCGCACCGCCCTGACTTACCAGTCTTTTACCTGCTTTAGAGCAGTTTGTACCTGCTAGTAGGCATGTCTAGTGAAACTGCAACTTGAAAGTAGGGGCAATGCCAGAGAGAAAAGAGATAAAGTAGGGAAAGCATGCTCGTTCTCTCCAATTTCTGAACTCTCAAGTGATTGTACCATAATAAATTCACCAACACCTCTTTCCAAAATAAATAAAAAAACGCTATGTTCACTACGTAAAAGATGGTCTCAGTTCATGCATCCGTAGGCAGGTAGGAAACGTTGCCATACTTTATTCACACCGCATGACGAGCGCAACAAATTCACACGAGATTTACAAGAAAATATCAGTGGTGACTTATGTTTCCCTGAAATTCTGTATGACCGGTCGTTTGCAGGACCGAATCATCTACTCGGGCGGTGTGCGTCGCTGTGCAAACGCCAACAACACGAAGCATAAAAACGGCAGGTCTAGGTCAAGAATCCGGAGTCCATTGTTCAATTAAAACGACGTAATTTTGTTGAAAACGCCCGCAGCTTTTTACTCACGGTATGCGTCGAGAATCTTCCACATTTTGAAACGGAACTGAGGAAGATTTACTTTTAAAAGCGCTCGCTGCGTCCTCCCGGACCAGCTGGACCGGATCAGCTGACGACGACGGAACTGAACCCGTTGAATTTCAACGCCACAATAACCAATTTGCGCTTCGTGTTAGTACGGGCTTCTACCTCCAAGCACCGCACCACACACCACAAACGTTTCAACTCTTTGTCGCCATCGCCGTGTTGCACCAAACAGAACGAGATCGCCGAAGTCAACGGAGCGCTGTCGTGAACCTTGGCTTGTGTCTTTCCAAGGCGTGAACCTTGGAAAGAGCACAGAGGAAAAGGCTCTGAATAGAGTAATTCGACAGGCTCTTCGAGGCGAGCCTTTTGCAGTGGATTTCGATAGAATTTTGTGTAAATATCAACATCAACAGCAGGAAGCTAACCAACCACCTAGAGAGGAGCACCTGAGTAACAGAAAGGCCAGAGCTAAAGAGTACCGAATAGTTCAAAACCTGTATCTTAAAAATCGGAAAGTCTGTGCCCAGAGAGTACTTGATGGTGTCAATGAAGATAGTGCTGCCCCAGAGGAATTGGTGAATTACTGGTACCAGGTAATGAACCTAGGAGGGGAAAAACGGCAGCAGTTATCGGAAGAATTCTGTAATGCGCCAGATGTGACCGTGGAGCCTATATCGGCGCAGGAGTTGACGGAGGCTCTCCCGAGTCACTCAAGTGCACCAGGTCCTGACGGCCTCTCGCTCAAGGAGTTTAAAGCTATTCCTAGAACTTTTTTGACAAAAATGTTTAACCTTTTTTTTTATGGTGGGGGCGGTTGCCACTTAAATTGGCCAATGCTAAAACAATTTTTATTCCAAAGACAGAGAGGTCTTCTAACCCAGCGGATTTTAGACCAATTTCTATTGGATCGGTTATTTTGAGAACCTTTCATAAAATAATTGACAGACGTCTCAGGAACATAGTCCACCTTGTGGATGAATAGCGTGCTTTTAAATGTACTGACGGATGTTTTGAGAATATAATGCTGTTGAGTACGCTTATTAAAACTAGTCATGCATCAGGGCGAAGCTTGTATATGGCAAGTATTGACTTGTCCAAGGCTTTTGATTGTGCAACTCATACTGCTATAATGAATGCTCTTGCTCACCATCATATGGTTGGACGGTCTGTGCTCAGTTACCTTCAGTGGTTTTACGATTGCTCGTCTACTCAACTGCAGCACGGAGGAGTAAAAAGAGTAGTTAAGCCGGGAAGAGGTGTCCGGCAGGGTGACCCGTTATCGCCATTGCTTTTTAATACAGTGTTAAATGAATTTTTGTCTGAAATTCCTAAGGAATTCGGGGTTCGCCTAGGAGATCGAAGTTGCTCCTCTTTAGCCTTCGCTGATGACCTTGTGCTTCTGGCCGAGTCAGCGAAGAGCCTCCAGTTTCTGCTGGACCAGCTCGAAGAGTTTTTGTGTGTTAGGGGCTTTACGGTTAATGTTCCGAAATCTTCCACACTGAGTCTAGTTGGAATTACAGGGAATCAAAAAGTAAAGGTGTGTCCACTCGAATTTAGAATTCAGGGAGAAGTATTGCACCCTCTGGGGTGTACAGAGACGTGGAAGTATTTAGGCGTTGAGCTAAATAGTATTGGAGAGATTCGGCTTAAGGAAATAAATTTTGAGGAATTAATTTCGAGACTCGAAAAGGCACCGCTGAAGCCCCAACAAAAGATTAATCTTTTGGTTTTTTACCTGGTTCCACGTCTTATTTACGGTTCAGTTATGGGAGTGAAATCTAAGGCCTTTTTGGCTCAACTGGACCGTAGAATTCGAGCCGCAGTGAGGCTCTTCCTCCATCTACCTCGGGACACACCGCTGGCATTTTTTTATGCTGCAGTTGGAGACGGCGGCCTCGGGGTCAATTGTCTTGTGACAATGATCCCTAGGATTCGGCGTGCCAGGGTGCTGGCTGTGGCTGAGAAGGACGATGCAATGTTGAGGAGCCTTGTGTCCACGCACGCTTGGAGTGAGGAGGTGGAAAGGGCAGAGAAATATGTAAAGTTCAAAAATATATCTATAGAGACAAGGAATCGGGAACGCAACTTTTGGCGAGGCCAGTTGTTGAAAATGGTGGACACTAAGGGGTTGGCAGAAGCACGTTCGTGCGTGGTAGCGTCCTTTGTCCGTAACCCTCCGCTGTTTCTGACTGGGAGGGAGTACGTGGATCTAATCAAACTTAGAGCCCACGCGCTCCCGACCAAGACGAGATGTGTGAGGGGCCGGGCAAAGGATACACGTTGCAGGGCTGGTTGTCTCTTCCCCGAAACACATACGCGTGTTGTCCAGGTATGCCCAAGAACTTATGCGCCGAGACTGGAGCGACATAACTGTGTTGCGAATTGGGTGGCGGAAAAGGCTAGAGTTGAGAGATGGATTGTCACGGAGGAACCGAGGGTGATTGTTGGAGATGAAGTAAGATATCCAGATTTAGTTTTAGTAAAAGATGGTAAAGCTTCGGTTGTTGATATTCAAGTGGTAGGGGAATATAAATCATTAAACTTTTTAAATGAGGACAAGATTCGTAAATATTCTGGTGAAGCCTTTATTAGGGCTATTAAATTGTCTTTCTCGGTGTCCTCGATGACGGTCCATGCCGTAACAGCAACCGAAAGAGGACTAGTTTGTCCCAGGTCTGCTGATTTTCTGTTATCCCTTGGATTTTCAAAGCGGAAGGTTTCATCCCTGACACTGAAGGTCCTACGGGGAACGCTCAGTTGTTTTTATCATTTTATGCGTGGGACTAATCGCAGTGTTTGATGTATTTGTGGCGGATTTGAAGATTGCAAGAAATATGGACTTAAATTTTATATAAAGATGTATGTATTTGTTAATTATTGTATAATGATGAATTGAAGTGTGTTTTATGGTTTTTATGTTGTGGGGAAATACACAGTGAGGGCATGATGCAGAGCCGTGCATACTTAAGGTTAAGCTTCCTCAAAAAGCGATTGTATTGAATTTGTTCAATAAACAGAATTGCGCACTCGTGGACCCTGTGACTCCCTTCGCTTTCAAAGCACACACGACGATTACGAATGATACTTTCTGTCTTCCGGGACCATCACAGGGGCACTTCTCCGGTCACGTCTTCGCTACATGTGCTCGCAAACCGCGTCAAACGTGGACAAACCGAAGCAATACCGGCGCCATGTTGAACGAGCGTTGTTGCTAGATTTTCTCCGACCAAACAAAAACAACGAAAGCAAACCGGCTCTAGCTTCCAGCGTACATCGGCGTTGCGCCGTGGCCAGATTTTCTCCGTCAGCTCTAACTTAAAGACGACCTACAGATGCAGCAACACTGGTATCATGTTTCAACATGGCGGCCCCCACGGAGCGCCGTAAATTCTGAGGACGGTGCATTGGAAGCGGCGGCACCTTCCCCCCCCCCCCCCCCCGCTGTTTCAACCACTGTTTATCCTACACAGTTTGCCCACTGTAGAGTAAGCCTGTGGTAATCGCAAGCACGTGATCGAGGGCCGTGTGTCAATAAAAATACATTGTAAACGAGACTTATAATATAATATTAACAGAATGTAAATTATATTGACAATCAAATAATTTAAAACGAGTGAAAGTTTTTCAAATACTGTAAAACCCTTAATGTTCGCGAGCCCTCAATTTTCGCGAATTTCACGAATTGAAGAATTCGCGAAATTTAAGGGCGCGCGAAAATTTCGCTCCTTAAGATTTTCAATGCAGGCGTCTGGAATTCGCGAAATTTAGTGGTCGCGATTATGTCATCTGTGACCGATTCGCGAAAAATGGGGGCCGCGAAAATAAAGGGTTTTACAGTAATTATTTAAATTCGTAAAAGCGTCCTTTCGTCAAAAATGGGATAACTAACCACTTTTTAAGTTTCGGATTTGTTGTTTCGTTTTTAATGATGGCGGCCCCATAGTATTTTGCTAATTGGCTTCTCGCGTCCGCTTGCATTGCGAATTCACTTTATTGCGAAGTGCGCACCACTGGACGGCAACCACACGTAATTTTTTTAAACAAGAAACATTTTAAGAAGGCACTGTTTATTTTCGCTCTACATAGTACAATTGATACGAAAAGTTTACGAACAGCAGAAGCAATGAAGAGGTTGTTGAGGTGTATCAGCGAACAGATGCGGTGGTACAGTGTGGATGTTAACCTTCAAATTATATACATTAAAAAATAAACGATCAATCAACATAGTCTTAGCAGGTAAATGTAAATTCGCGGTAAAGGTAGTGTCGAAGTAACGACCTTTGACTACACCTATTCGTACAACCTTTTTCTACGGTGCTTCACATAGTGAGAGTTATTCGAAACCAGTTGCTTAAACAGTAACTTTGTATCGACGAAGTGCGTTTCCATGAAACGCGTGTCCATAAAACGTTGTCCACGAAACGAGTTTAGGACGAAACGATAGGGACCCCTTTCCATGAGTAGTAGTAAAAGTGTACACGATCAGCCCAATAATCAATCAATACTAAAACATGTGTTTCCGATATCAATATGTTCCCGATATGTTTCCGATATCGGGGTGTCCGGTTTCTGACATCGATACTATCTATGGAATCGATATGCGGGTTATGCGGGTGTCTATTTCTCACATCGATCCTGTCTATTCGGATATCTAAATGGCTAACTGCGCGCCCGCCGCTGGGTCTGACGTAGGAGTCGCGACCGGCCAATTAGCCAATCCTATCCTATCCTAACCTATTCAGATATCAGAAACGGATGTTTCTGCTATCTGAAAAAAATTTTGATTTTCGATAATCGATAATTGATAATCGATCAATAAATTTATTATCGATCGATGATCGATCATCGGCCGATGATCGATCATCGGCCGATAGTTGACCATCGGTCGATAGTCGATCATCGGCCGATAGGCAATCAGTGCCACGCAGTTGTCACGTGACAACCCCGTGACAACTGCGAATTTTAATTACTCCGAAAAAGACTTTTAAAATACTTTTAAAAGTCCTCTAAAAGCCATTTAGATATCCGAATAGATAGGATCGATGTGAGAAATAGACACCCTCATAACCCGCATATCGATTCCATAGATAGTATCGATGTCAGAAACCGGACGCCCCGATATCGGAAACATATCGGGAAGATATCTGAAACACATGTTTTAGTATTAATTGATTATTGGGCTGATCGTGTACACTTTTACTACTACTTCCATGCCAAGGCATGTCCTGCGGTGCCGAATACATCGGCCAAACGGGTCTCTGCGCAAACGACCGGCTCCGGGAGCATCACAGAGAAGTAGAGGACGCCGCACCCCACAGCCAGCACCCAATAGACGCACAAACGCGGGAATATGGCGGCTGCGAATCCGACCTTGCCGCCACGACGGCGCTGGTAAAGGCCCATACGCACATTCGCGTTTGAACGCGTTTGAGTGCGCTGCGGCGTCCTTGCGCCCAGGAGCGGTCGCTTGCAGTGGGGCGCGCGCCTACCCGCAACGTCCGTAGCGCGACGCAAGCGAGCAGAGGCTCCCTCAACTTTCCGAAGCGTTGCGGTGCGATCGACCAACCAGAAGCCGAGAGAGGAGAGAAGGGTGACGTGTTCGCTCGCCCCACTCGGCCGACTCGGCCGATTTGGCGAGACGTATGCGGTTCTCCGCCCGCAGAACTTCCTTTTTCGTTCTGGGGAGCGGTGGGGAGTGTATTTTCCAAGGCTGGCGATGGTTCAAGCTTGACGAAACGTCGGGGAAGCCAGCGGGATGGTCCTAAGATCGAACACTTCCACGCTGTCGCTGTGCGCCGCCATGTTGCCTTGGATTTCGCTTACTATTGGTGAGCCACTAGCGACAATAGCGCGTTCTTATTGGCTCTTGACTGCGGTTGACTGCGTGTCAACATAACTGTGCGTACATGTTTGGCGCAAGCGCTCTTCGCAACGCAAGGCGTCCGCTTGCCGCTCGGAACGCACCGCGCTCAAACGCGAATGTGCGTATGGTCCTTAAACCTTCGTGACCGCGTCGGGAGGAAGATTATACAAGCCTTTAGAAACGTGACGAGCCCCCAAATCATAAATACGTCGTCTCTTTTGGTCAGAAAGAGCTCAGGGCCCCGGCTGCTCAACTAATGCCCTTTTATCCCCCCCCCCCCCCTTCTTCCAATGATTGGAAGTCGTGGCAGCAGCCAGTGGGCCCCCTTCCGAAAAAGGTTCCTGTCTACGGACCTTGCCCAGGGTTCTCATCTGGACACTTGGCAAAAAAGTCGGCGAGAAATCCGCGGGACGTGATTGTCCAACGCCGCACTTGACCTTGGTATCGGCCAATCATGGCCGCCATGCCGATTTCTCGCCGACTTTTTTCCGAGTGTCCAGATTAGGGCCTCAGATTGCCGCATTCCTGGCGGATACGGCAGAGCAGCCAATGCTACGATCCGTCGGAGCCACTCGAGCGACGCCAAAAAATGTGTCGTCACGGCGCTCGCAATTTTTTTTTTTTTTTGTTCCTCTGCTTATGTTGTTTAGACCGATCGCGCATTGGCTGTTTTTCCCTTCCAATTTCAAGGGCGTCATTCGAGATACTCGTGTGGTCCAAACTACCAAGCACAAGAAAGTAAAACTTTTTTTTTTGTCCTCGCCATTTTTTTATATATGAATAAAATATTAAAAAAATGTCAATCTGCTGTCCGCGGACTGATTTTTATGTCCTGTAGTGAGAACGCTCATTCTAACCGCCGTAGCGAATGTAACTATACTGGCACTTAAATAAATAAATAAATAAATAAATAAATAAATAAATATATATATATATATATATATATATATATATATATATATATATATATATATATATATATATATATATATAAAAGTAGAAGCCACCGAGGGTCAAACAAACTTCGAAGGTTTTATTCAACATGTATACGTTATACAGAAACCGCGACGTTTCGAAGGGGACCCTTCCGCCTCAAGCGAGACTTTTCCTCAAGCGGAACTTTTCAAGTCCCGCTTGAGGAAGAAGGGTCCCGCTTCGAAACGTCGCGGTTTCTGTATAACTTATACAAGTTGAATTAAACCTTCCAAGTTTGTTTGACCCTCGGTGGCTTCTACTTTTATAAAAATACGCCTACAGCCTACTTAGCCCCAAGATGTCATTATATATATATATATTTGTGGTGGATGTATATTTCCATCAGCTCGAATGTATTTTTATGTAATGTAAACTTCAAGCTCGAGGTATACACCTGGAACGTGCTTATCTAGGTTGCCCCGGTTAATTTTCATACGGGTCAAATTGAACATCTTTTAAATGAATCAGCGGTATTTTTTTTATTTGGGTTACTTTGAATATACATCGTACGAGACCGTTATGAAGACGTGTTCGGTACAACGTCAATTATTTTCATACGAATCGTGTTGCGCGCATGTTTCGACGACCGGAAGTGTGAGCCCCAATTGACGTCGAATGTCTCTGCTGTAGATGACACGTTTAGCCAATGCAACATGACTGCAACGCAGAAGGGATTATACGCGATCTCACGCCGGTACAATGCTCGCCCAGATCGAAACGGGTACGGGCGGGGATTGAACCCAGGATTCCTGTTTTCTGCAGCGCAATTGCTTTCGCTCCACGCGTACTCCGAGCTGCGGTGTGCAGACTCGGAACATCTGTTCTCATTTCTATTCTCCGAACTAATGAAAACAAATGTCCCTGGTACAGCGGATGGCCTAGGTACCTGAAAACATGATTGAAACTGTATGGTTTAAATGAAAAAAAAAACATACGGGCCACAAAAAAAAAAGAAAAAAAAGAAAAAAAAAGGAAAACACGTTACGGACTGGCGCTTGAAAAAAAAAATGAAAGCGTTATGAACTTATGATCTTACTTTGTTTCCTGTGCGTGACTGGTACCCGGTGATAGAAAACGCACAAAAACGACGGGCGGCGTGACGATGCACCTTTTGGTGCTGCTCTAGTTCTACTTTATTGCATCGTATACCCGCCACTGCCTGTAGACACATTTTCTACACGTCGTCTATTTTTATTATTTTACCACCTCTGAGGTGAGCTCTCAAAACAATATTGCCGCGCGCAGGGTCACGGACTTGTAGAAAGTTCTCGTTTATTTTCGCTGCGGACATAACTATCGTTTATCCCTGCTTTTGTTGTTCTAGAAAGTGCTTGTTCATTCTCGCCCCGAGCGCGCTACGCTCGAACCTTCTTCGCCGAATCTTCGAGATAGTGACTCACTCTAGATAACAGGCCGCCCGCGACCTTGTCGAGTCAGTTTTCGCCTCAGCGTTCGATCGTGCTGCTTCGCCGCCTTCGACGCCCGCGACGCTCTGTTGTTATCTTTCTTTTTCCTTTTATTTTCGGGCACAAGTTCGCCCCATTAAACGTTCAGTTTACTCGGTCATTCACCGCCTCACCCCTTGTCATTCGTGACATTTTGGTGGAGGTGCGGGGTACCGCATGCCTGTGCAGCGTTCCCCTCCAAGAGCCCGCAGTGCGAGTCCGGTTCCAAGCCCAGTGAGAAGACCACTCCCCGCGGAACCCGAAACTCGGACCAGCCGTCGCATCAAGGGAGAGGATCCTGAATACGGTTTGCTACTGGACAAGCCCAAGCCGAAGAAGACGACGATGGCCAACCAGGCGCAGGCCCCGACCGCTCCTGCCGTCGTATACCTGCCCGTCGCACCCAAAACTCCGACGCCGTTTCACGGAGACGCAAACGAGGACATCGAGGATTGGCTGCAACATTATGAACGGGTGGCCCGCCATAACGGGCGGTCAGCCGAGCACTGCTTGCAGAACCTTTACTTTTCGATGGAGGGAACTGCGAGGCACTGGTTGGAAAACCACGAGGCCTCTTTGACGTCCTGGGAGGTGTGCAAGCAAGAATTGAACAAGACGTTTGCCTGCCAACACCGACGTGAGAGGGCCGGAGATCTCTTGCGAACAAGAACCCAAGACCTGCATGAGAGCGTCACCAGCTTCGTTGAGGATGTTCTCCGCCTGAGCGCCCGCGCCGATCCTCAGGCTACCGAGGAGAAGAAGCTGCACCACTTGATGAGGGGTGTGAAAAGTGAGATATTCGGCGGCCTCATTCGCAATCCCCCGACAACCATCGACGGGGTCGTCACGGAGGCGACGGATATGGAACGGACCCTACAAGCACGCGCCAGACACTACCAGTGACACCCCGGCGTAACCACTCTGGCGACATCCGGATCCGACCTTGGCACCACCCTCCCCGGCATCCGTGAAATTATCCGTGAAGTCGTCCAGGAGGAACTCAAGAAGCTCCTGCCCGCTGCTGTACGCCCGGCCTCACTCTCCATCGCCGAGGTTGTGTGGGAAGAAGTCCAGAGAACCTTCCAGCCACAGGCTTCCGTCGTCGTGGCAGCCCCCGAGGAGCCCACGTTGACTTACGCCGCAGTGGCTCCACGGCCACCGCCTCCTCCTCGCACCTTTGTCGCGCCGCCCCGACGTCAGTCTCTTGCGCCGCAACACGACAGACGCCACGACGACCCGGTGCAGTACGCCCGCCCGGAGCCTCGCGCACCCCGGAAAACCCACGTATGGCGAACGCCCGACCGACGCCCTCTGTGCTTCCATTGCGGGGAGGCAGACCACACCTACCGCGAATGCCCATACCGACGACTTGGGCTTCGCAGGTTCCACCCGAACGACCCGCGCCCCCGTTATGGTGAACGACCTCGGCAGATCGACGAGTACCTGCGACGACCTCAGTCCCCCGAGCCTGCGTCCCGCCGAGAGTTCCGATCGCCGTCGCCACGACGTCTACCTTCGTCGATGCACCGACCCCGACGTGAAAGCCTGTCACCCCTCGCTCCTCGCCGGGGAAACTAGGCGCGGCAACCCCTGGAGGTGGAGTTGCCGAAGACGACCGACGCCAAGATCATCCACGAACGTCGGAGGGCCCCCACTCGAACGCTACCAGAGATCGAAACCACGCCGCCCCTGCAACGGTGTCCAATAACCTAAACGTCGTCATCGACGGCCACGACGCATTAGCGCTCGTGGACACCGGAGCAGACTACTCAGTCTTGAGTGGGAGGCTCTCCCGCCGCCTTCGAAAAGTCACGACGCAGTGGGATGGACCTCAGATACGAACCGCCGGAGGGCGCCTCATCACACCGGTCGGGAGATGCACTGCTCGCGTCGAGATACACGGTGAGACGTGCCCTGTCAAGTTCGTCGTTCTGCAAGACTGTTCGAGGGACGTTATCCTCGGTATGGACTTTCTCTGCGAGTATGTCGCAGTCATCGACCTCGGAGCAAACCGGCTGACGCTACGAAAACCTGCTCCACCACTGGAAGAACCCAAAGCGACGTCATCCGCGGTACGAGTTTTCGCGAACCACGTGAACTTACCGCCGCAATAGAGTGTTTTCGTACCCGTCGGGGTCGATGAAGCTTTCTGCGGCGACGTTCTGCTCGAAGGAAGCCTCCAGTTGCTTATAGGAAGAGGGATAGGCGTCGCAGGAGGCATCGCGGGGCTCCGAGACGGACAGTTTTTCGCACTCGTAACGAGCTTCCGACAAGAGGCTCAGCACCTTACGAAAGACACCGCCGTGGGTCACGCCGAGGAACTCCCGGACTCAGCCGAAATCGCCGGAATATCAGAAGACCTCTCTTCGTGGCCACCCAAGATAACGCCGCCTTCGCAGTTCGATATCGACCCAACCCTGCCTACCCCACAACGACAACTCAGTGACCTTCTCGCCGAGTTCAATGAGTGCTTCTCCACGTCGTCAAAGGTGCGCCAAACGACCGTTGCAAAACATCGAATTGTCACTGAAGACAACGCGCTTCCTGTTCATCAGTCGCCGTACCGTGTTTCCGTGAAAGAGAGAGAAGTCATCCAGAAGCAGGTCCAAGAAATGCTCGATGACGGCATTGTCCAGCCCTCAGCAGCCCGTGGGCTTCACCGGTAGTCCTGGTGAAAAAGAAAGACGGGACTCTTCGGTTCTGCGTGGACTATCGCCGACTAAACGCCGTAACGAAAAAGGACGTCTACCCGCTGCCACGCATCGACGACACACTGGACCGGCTGCGCCATGCCCGATACTTTTCGTCGATGGACCTGAAGAGTGGGAACTGGCAGA